CCCCGGGCCCGGCGCGCTTCCTGATGGAGCTCACAGCTCCGAGTGAGGAGCAGCCCCTCGACGAGTGCTTTGCTGTATTTTCATGCCTATTACAGCTCCTTGCAAGGAATTCCAGGTCACCTGTGTTCGATCTTACGCATGTCGTCTGTTTAACATTTATTTAACTTTCTAGTCTTACACCTCTGTCTTTGCAGGCACTCCCGCTGATCTTTCTCCACTCTCTCCCTTCGCCGCTTTGCTTCCCACCACTTACAGGCGACATCGATGCTTTTGTGTTATCAACAGTGCTGACAGATGTCTGCAGCCATTTATGCGCTACTTGGCTTGCGTTTTCCCCGAGGTCCTAGATTAAATGCTCAGTCAGAACTCTAATATTTCATGGGCCAGTAGAGTGCTTCCACTTGGAGTCACCTCTTCTCCGCTGGTTTCCCTTTTTGCCAGCGTTTACCCGGGGGTCTGATCAGCTTGCGCTGTATTTCCAACGATGCTCTTGCTCCGGGGTGTGGTTCTGCCGCCGCGCTCTTCAGGCGAGGCTCACGGCGCTCCGCACGCTCGCGCCCCGCGCTGCCACCTCGGCTGTTTGCCATTAACTCCTCTACGGAGCGCGAGGCCGCAGGGGAGCGACGCGAGCTGCTAAAGGCAGCCTGCGTGCTGCGATGGTTTGGGGCAGCTGAAGGAAGAGAATTCGCCCGGTCCTGCAGAGCTCCCTGAGCCATGAAACCCACAGAGCAAAGAGAGGCCCCAGCCCACACGACCGGCTGAGATTGGTGGCCATGGCTTGTGGCGCCAGGATGTCGAGAGAGGCTGTTTCCACCCAGAAATATTGTCTGCAGTTCTATATAAAGACCTGTGCTTTCAGAAAAAGTCAACACCTTAGTGTTTGTTCTGTACAGAAATGATCATGTGGTTCCCTGGCAGGGCCGGAGCAGCACTGGGGCTGATCCTGGCTTTCCCACGACAACTCTTTTTTCCCTGTACATTTTGGAGGCAGCTTCACGCCTGGATGCTGGGGGCTGGCAATTTTTCCCTAGCAGCGTCTCATCCGGCGCTTGCACCTCGTTGTCTCTTGTGATGGAGTCGTTGTTAAAAATAAGTCATTTTATTTCCCAGAAGATGCCCGACAGCAGCATTTTGTCCCAGCTGACTTGGCTTCCGTCAGTGTGCAGGTTATGTCGGGGCTTGGTGCCGAGCCAAAGCTGCCGTCAGACGGGGCTGCTCTCGGGCAGACCTGTGCTCGGTACCTACGTGGGCTCTGGTGTCGTGCAGATGGTCTCCGAAATGTGTGTCTGTACAAGAGGGATGGCAGAAGTGTCTCAGAAGCCTGTTAAGGACTTACTAAAATAAAGGCTGATGTCTAGAACAAATTCCCCTGCGCAGCCTGTAGTAGGGGTGGACCCCGCGGCTCCGGAGGCGCCCGGCCATCCCGCTGTCGGCTCGGCGGGGGAGAGCTCTGCCACCGGCAGACACGGCACCCCCGCGGGGTCCTGGGGTGCAGAAAGTGCGAGGGGTTGAAAGCAAAAGGACGAGAGCAGGGGTTTTCTCCGGGCGGCAAAAACTTTCCAACTGTCTTTTGAAGACGTAACGTGCAGGCAGTCATTGCCTGTTGAGCAGAGGGGCAAGCTTGGATGTTGTGCTCGATAAGAAATGGGGTCTGAACCAACGCAGGATCCTTGGATCAAGTAGATCTACAGGATGAAAGAAGAGACTGGCATCTGGACTGCTGTGGCAGGTTGCTCATCTGCTGTTAAAAGACGAGTCTTGAAAGTTGAAGAATTTGGGTTTAGCTTTTAATTCTGACAGTTTCCTGTGACCTTGGGCATGTCACTTAGTTCTCTGCACTGTGTCTGTGTCTTCAGCCACAGAACAGTCATAACTACATTCGGTTCTGCCCTTAAGTCTTTAAATGACAAGATCTTCCACCCCTACTATGAAACCCAGTTGGTCCTTGAAATTGTCAGAAGGCCAGGAGATTGTCCGTAAATAACCAATAAATTCATAGATGTTTCTTAAATAGTAACAACCATAGAAATACGTAAGGAATTAAAGCATGGATGGTGAATAGATGTGTTTCCAAGCTTGAAATTTAATAGTGCAAACTTTCTTCCACCTTAATTTCACTTTAATGACCTTTTCCTGACTGAATCATCTTACCGAGATGGAGAGGTGGATGAGCAAAGTACCATGGTGGGACAGAATTAGGCAGTGAAAACTGAGTTTTTAGCCCAAGTTTGAGTGACACTGTGACTTGTCTCTGCCTTTGCTGCCATCAGTGTCTTGCTTGGGGTCTTGCAGATCACCAGTGATCCCCAAAGGGTATTTTCACAGGGTGTTGCCCTTGTCCATGAAAGACTTTGTTGAACTTCCAGGATTACACTGGACCATCTCCATCTCAGACTCTTCCTTTGGGATCTAAATTCTGCAGGAACTTGGGGAAGCATCTCCCCAGCTGTGCTACTTGGTAAAATCTCACAGCAATGAGATTTGGAAGATCTTTTAGTCCTGATTCTTGGCTGATAGAGGCAGCTGTTTTCCTCCACTGCAGCCAGCAGTTGTCATCTCCCCTTTTTGCTGCTGCACCAACAAGTGTGATGCTGATGTGACTGATGGACTGGAAACCAAACTGACATTTCCTCCAACCACTTGGCCTTGTTGGCCATTGACCGAGCAGAGGAGCAGCATCCAAGAGACGCGAGGTCCCAGCACATGGAGCTGCTTGTGGAGCTGGCGGCAGGGTTCGGCGTTGCGTTGCCTACTGGGGAAGACCAAGGAGGGGGTTTTGTAATGCCTGTGTGGACTTGCAGATCCCTGTGTGGATTGCTCTTTGGATGTCATTCAGGCGCTGTCCTGCTCCTCCAGCAAAAGGTTTTGAGGCTGAAACCTCTTGCCACATGAAGAAAAGCACCACGTGATCAAGGATGAATGAATACTGTCACTGTGGGATCTGGAAAATGCAGTGGTGGAAGTGAAGCCCTTATTTAATGGAACTTTTACGTGGAGTGAAGATCAGAGCAGCTTCTCCAGAGCCCACCGTCCCAGGACAACGCTAGCTTCACATAGACGTGTATTTAGTTGATTTTCCTCATTCCAGCAGGAGCTGGGACCTAAAGAGATTCCGCTTCTTGCTGAAGGTCCCACAGCTGCAGGACTCAAAATATATCAGAGACCTTCTGATCTCCAGGTCTGGCTCCTGCTTGTAGTCAAAATTCACGTTAATGACATTCTTCTCCCCTGGTTTGGGCTCCTTATCACTGTGTGAAAGGGTCAACAGGGTTTGACTACTAACAGTGACAGACCCTCTATCTTCTTATCTATAATTCAATGAGGGCTGTGGGAGAGGAGAAGGAAAGTCATTAGCACTTACTCTTGTTACAGACACTTGCTCTCCAAGAACACCATGGCAGGAATCTCCAAGAGGCTCCTCTGTGTATGCAGCACGTTCTGCTAAATCACAGTAAAAATAGCAAACTAAGCAAGGATTTGAGCCTCAACTCACTGAGGCAGGAATAAATATTAAATACTTGGGCCAAGGTGGGGGCTTTGCCTGCTGCTGCCCTGCCTGTACCCCTCCAGCCAACCAACCATTCATTTTTATGGGAGCAGCGAACGTCTTAATTATTTGGAAGCTGCATAAAAAAGCGGCTTATGGGATGTGACACAGCTTGAACAGTCTGTGTTAATGAAGTAAAAACTAAGCCTGTGCTGCATGAAGGACTCGTGCTGCATCAGTGAAAACCCCGTAACGGCTGAAGCAAGGCTAGACCTCAGGTCTGGAAGCTAAATGCAGGAGAAGAGAAACCCAGCACACCCTCCGTGGTGTATCGAGAGCACTGAGAGAGGCAGTGACGTGGATGCCACTGAGTCTTTAAACCATTCAATATTATACTAAGAAACGCTGGAAATTCAGGAATTTGAAGTGTGGGTGAGGTCGCAGGAGAGATTTCCCAAAGGCCAAGCCCCTGGGTAGCTCTTCCTGCTTCCCAGGCTGGCGGTGCCGGGGGGAGGACGGGTCTGCCCCAGGCGTTGCTCCTCCTAATTCACTCTCCTGCCTCAGGGCCCCGGGCCGTGGGGCTCTGCACCTCCTCTCCATCCCCAGCCCAGGGAGCAGGCGGGAATTTCTCTGCTTACGGTGCAGGGAAAGTTATTTGTGATACAGAACAGTGGCCTTCATGACCTTTAGCAAAGGGGGAGATCCTTGCCGGCCAGCCCTGACCCTGTGTCAGCGGGAGCAGAGGTGAGCAGCCATCTGGCCGTGCTGTCCTGATGTCCCCCCCGCTGGCAGGGACCCAGACAGCCAAGGAAAAACCCATGTGGGTGGCAGAAACTCCTGATTTCACCCATGAGAATAATTTTTAGCCCCAAAGCTGGGCTAAAGGGTTAAAAGGCTGGGGAATGGTTTGCAGTGACACGGTTTTGTCCCAGCCCTGTGCCCGGCCAGCCGCTGCCTCTGCTCAGGGAGCTCCAACCCCAAGAGGCTGCGTGGTTGGTCGATCTGTCTGTCTGCCTGGAGAGGGAATTAGAAAAAAAAAAAAAAAAAAAAAACCAAACAAACAACCCTACCTGTGATTCTTTTAGCTATTTCATGCTGTACTTTTAATCTCTGAGCTCAGAACAAGGGATGTCATCATCGTTGTTGTAATTACAGCGATAGGGGTGATTGCTCGCAAGGTCATTCAGCGAGCGGGTGGCCGAGCTGGCCTGGTGCAACGCGGCCTTTGCTTTTCCCCGGGAGCGATATCCCCCCACCGGCACCGATCCCGATGCCAGAGTCCCCGGGTGCACGGTTCCCTGCGTGGGAGCCCTTCACGTGCGGGAGCAGGGCTCGGCCGAGCCCGAAAGCTGGGCTTAAGGGCCGAGGCTTGGCTTAAGGCGGTGTGCTCGGCTTGATGCGGGCTGCATCCCGACCCAAAACCACCTCGCCCTGCCCTGCGCCGGGCTCTGAGCAGCGGTGGCCGCGTCCCAGCCCTCCTGCCTGACTCCTCTTTTCCCTTTTGCCTCCGCAGTGAGAAACGCGCTCTGCACGTCAGCGTCACCAACCCGGTCCAGTGCAGCCTGCACGGGCGGAAATGCACCGTCTCCGTGGAAACCAAGATTAACCAATCCCAACCGGATTTCACCAAGCATCGTTCCGGTTTCATCCTCTGCGTCCCGGGGAATTAGCATCCCCCCTCTGCTTGGCACAGCGAGCCCGGAGAGCGAGGGAGCGGAGGGAAGATGGACTGGGGCTTTGATCGCCCTCCCCGAGCCTTGGACTGTTCGAGGGGATTAATTTAGAGATGCTCAGCTGTGACTTGGTCATGTGCCTAATAAGATCTCTAAAGCCAGAGGTTTAGCAAACCCAAATTCAGGAGAGGGTTTCACTACCACATGCAATGAAGGCTTAAAATAGCCAGTGACCTGTATCCATCTTACAAAACAGGCCAGAATATCAGGAAAGTGCTTCTGAATTAGTCCAAAAAAAAGCATTTATAGGTACTTACACCCTTTCCCACATTGATTTCTTAAACCCCCTCCACTATTCCCTCCTGTGTTTCTTTTTTGTGTGTCATTTTTTGCAATATTACGCAGCCTCCACCGGAGGAACCAAAGATACCCGGCTCAGGGAGTCTGGTTCTGCAAGCCCAAAGCCCGATGGAACCGGAGCCCGGTTTGGAAAGGCGGGCTGGCTGCCCGCGCCGGGGAGACGCGCTGCGCTCTGCCAGCCCTGCGGACACGCACGGAGCTGGGGTGGTACCCGGACACGCACCTCGACTTGCTGCTGCCCTGCCTGGAGTTCATTAACCCGTCAAGGCACCTTGGTTGGAGGCAGCTCCACCAGCAGAAAGGAGAGCGGGTTTCACAGTGCAGAGGTTTAAATTTTTTTTTTTTTAACCCTGCATTGCTTTTGCCTTAATTACCCTCTCCGGTGACCTAAAATCCAGTGGGTTCCCATTTGGACCAAGTGGCCTTGCTGAATTTTTTCGATGATCCACGTGGTTTCGTGTTAGCCCCAGCGCTGAGGTTCCGGGAGGGCTAAAAGGACCCGCTGCCAGTGGGTTCATCTAGAAACACGTGGAGCTTGGGGGCCGGGGCTGCGGCTCCCTCGCTTTGCACTATTTAACATTAACCCCCGGGCACGTCCGTCCGCGCCAGGCGAGGGGCAGCAGCACGGACCCGACTGCAGACATCCAGGCTGGCGTCTCCAAAGAGTTTTCCTGGGCCTTCCCGGCTGCAGGTGTGGGATGTTGGGGGTGCTGTGCCCCACTTTGGCTTGTCTGGTGGCAGCACGTGTCCCCGCTGCGCGGCGCCTGCGGCTGCCCGGCTCAGATAACCTTGAGCTGGGTGTTTACGGGAGAGCCAGCTGTACTAACGAGCTTTTTATTTCCGCTGCCTAGCGGGCTGCTGCTGGGGGGGGCGTTGAGCGGAGGCGGCGTGAGGGGGCCGTTGGGTTGTATGTCCCCAGTCCTGGCACTGCGGGTCAGGTCAGGATTCCCAGCCCGTTGGACGGGGGGGGGGGGGGGCTGCGTGGGGACCCCACTGTGGGGACGCGCGTCTCCAGCCAGGCGGGCAAACCGGCAGCACGTGTTTCATTGAGCATTTTAGGGGTCGGAAAGCCTGGAAGAGGCTCTTCACCTAACGACCTGTTAATGAAAACCTTCCCACAGCCGTGCCACGGCCACGGGGAGTGGGGACGGGGCGCTGCAGCGTTGCTGCCCGAGCACCGCCACCGAGCCCCGCGGTTAAGGGGTGCCACGGGGATGGGGAGCCCTCGCTCTGCATTTAAGCTTAATCCCCCCCGTGCTCTGTGGCGGGGAGGCCGCGCGTCCAGGTGGTCCCTGGCCCCCGCCAGCACCCCCGCGCCGCACCCCGGCCGCTGGCGCTTGGTCCCGGTGAGCGGCGCGGGGATCCCGGCGCCCGAGGGAGGGCTCCGCGCGTCACTCGAGGAGAAGCTCTCCCAGGTGCGGGCGAACCCCTCAGCCACCCCCCTCTGGGACCACGGGGAGCCCAACCTCGCCCAGCACACGCGGTTGGGGCGATGCCGGGGCCACGGGACCCCCCCCCCCCGGCGCCTCTTCGCCGCGGCCCCGGGGAGCGCCAGGACAGACAACCCTCGGCCTGGCCGCGCCGTTCGCACCTCCCGCTTCTGGTACCCGCCGGTCCACCCGTGCCCCCAGCAGCACTAACCCGCAGGCAAGGTAGCGGCAGGAGTTTTAATCAGCACTTTTATACACTATCCCTCCAACGAAATGGTTGTATTGAATCATGATGAATGGCAATAAATCGCAGGCTTAGGAAATTTCTAATACTATGAGATGGCAATATTGTATGTGATGAAATGTGTCTTTATAAAATATATCTGTTCCTGCTCTGGTTTTATATATATATAAAAAAAATATAAAATATATATATATATATTCCTGTTTTTTCCTATAAATTAACTATTGAATTCAATTTTCAGCCTGGGGCAATAATGCAATGAACCCTTTTTTTTTTTTTTTTTTAATCGCTGATATTTTAATGTGTAAAAGCAAAAAAAAAAAAAAAAAAAAAACCTACTATAATGGACCTGGGGTTTTGTTTACATATTTCACTGTAATAAATAAATAAATAAATAAAAAAGCAAACCAACAGTTAGTTGCATCCCACTGTGGCGCTGCCAGTTTCTGACCGGCGCGGTGGCTCGGGGAAGGTGATGCCAGGATGGAGAGTGCGAGTTTTGGCGTCGCAATAACCCCGTTTGTCACCTGGAGGCTCCTCCTCAGCCGGGGGGTGACCCCGGCGCCCGGAACGCTGCGTTAAACCCTCGGTCGTCAAATCCAATTCCCCAGCGCCACGAAGGGGCGTCGTGGGTGCGGGACTGCAGAAAAGACTCCGCCACGAACCGCTGCCGTGTAATGGATGGTCAGTGCATTTTTATTTAATCGGCACAGTACAAAAATAAATAAAAATAAGGGGAGGGGATTAAATTACAGGCACACTGAGCCCCATGACACAGTCGGTCAGGTTATAAACCACACATACTTACAAACACACTATACACATACATACAAAATGAGACAAATATAAATTAATAAGTAACAATACCCACCAATTTGGTCAACAAAGATCTACAGAAGAGATTGCACTAAAAAAACGTATGTACACATGTATCATTAGCAGGGTCCAATGTACAGCGATGAAGAGCTTCAAGTGAAAAATAGAAAATAAAAATAAATGGCACGTTATTTCTCCCTCTCGTCTGCGAGTTTAACACCCGATGGACCAGAACTAAACTAGAACTGTGCACACGGAGAAAAAAAAAATAAAAACCAAAAAAACTTATCAGTCCCCAGGCCTGACAAGGGAATACCAGCTCAAGACTGCGGTACCGGGGTGGTGTCGGGTCTTTGTGCATGGGTGTAATTTTTACAGCCATCTCTTGTTAAGGTTTTTCTTTTGATTATTATTTTTATGTGTTTTTTTTCCTTTTTTTTTTTTTTTGAAGACACAAAATGCTCCTGTTTGCATGCGCAATACCACTGTAAAAGCAACAATGAAAGAATAAAGAAGGGTTTTTCTTTTTTCCCCCCCGTATGTTAGTAGTTTGTGGTTTTTTTTTTTTTTTGTTCTAAAAGTATTCATATAGCAGCATGTAGATTCTTTCCTTGCTTGCACACTCAAGTAGATCCTTTACACAATACTCATGATCAGTGCACGATGGGAACAAGACATTTCACATTGATGTCATGATACAGTAGCGGTTATTTCCCTTAACCCAGACCCGCTCGGGAAATTCGAGTCTCTTCAAAGAAAATAAATAAAGGGGAGGGAGGAAGCAGGGGGGGAGGGCCCGGGGGGCCCCGGGCCGTGCCCGCGTCTCTGTCCCGTTACCGGCTGCTCCGGCACCGGTAAGTCACGATCGGCCCCGCTCAGCCGCCTCCGGTGAAGCCTTTAGAGCAAATTTTTTTTTTTTTCTGTTTTCTCTTTTTTTTTTTTTTTTTTTTTCCTCCCCCCCCCCCCAACCTGGTCTTTGTCTCGGTGATGCGGTGACCGACCCCGCAGCCGGGGCCGCCCCCGCCGCCAGCCCGCGGAGCCCCGCTCCGCTCCTCCTGCCGCGGGGCTCGGGGGGGGGGGGGGGGGGGTCGGCTGGGGAAAGGTGGGGGGTGTCGTGTCCCCCCCCCCCCCCCGCGCCCTCCACGATTTTCTGAAATCAATCCGGTGGCGGAGCCGCAGCATCCCCGGGCCCGCGGGATGGGGAGGGGACGACGGCTGCAAAGCAGCGGCCCGGGGAGGGGGGGGGCGAGGGGAAGCGGGGGGGTCTGCGCTCCGCTCCGGCGGCGGACGAGCCCGTCCCGTCCCCCCCCCCGTCCCCCCCCCCCCGCCCAGCGCCGGGGAGCGGCGGCAGCTCCCGCCTTTCCCCGCCTGGAAAAGCCCCCGGGAAGCGGTTCCGATCCGAGCCGGGGCGAGCGAAGCGTGTCCGGGCGGGGCCGGGGCCGGGGCCGGGAGCTCCCCCGGGGCCCGGCGGGCGGGCGGCGGGCGCTCACCGGTCGAGGCCGATGAGCAGCCGCCCCTTCTCCTCGGCGCCGCTTTCCTTCTTGAGGTCGGCGAAGACCTGGGTGAAGTAGTGCGGGTCGGCGTTGACCTGCAGCATCTTGGGGCTCATGAGGTCGATGATGGAGAGGCAGCGGTCCCAGAAGGCCTCCTTACAGCTCTCCACCAGGAAGGGCTTGAGCGGGTAGGAGATCTCGTTGCCCATGTAGGAGTAGGAGAGGTACAGGCAGGTGAGCAGCACTGCCTGCAGTTCGTGGTCGCTGGCCACCTCGGCCGAGATGACATCCCGGCAGAGCATGTAGAGGAAGACCACGTTGGCCGGCGTGATGAAGCCCTGGTCCTGCCAGCCCTGCAGCAGCAGCGAGCGGTCCACGGAGCGCAGCCAGAGCACGGGGTCGGTGGGCGAGAGGTGCTTCAGCCGGTAGCAGCGGCGGCAGAGGAACTCGCCCAGGCAGCGCAGCAGCTCGCTGGTGGACGCCTGCACCACGACCCGGCGCGGGGTGGCGGCGGCGGCGGCGGGCGCGGCCGGAGGCACCTTCTGCGCGGAGGCGAGGGCGGCGGCGGCGGCGGCGGGGGGCGGCGGGGGGGCGAAGGTGGCGAGGTTGGCGCAGGAGAGCGACTTCTTCAGGTTCTCGTTGTTGAGGTGGGTCACGTTGCTCTGGTAGCCGCCGTTGGGCTGCACCTTCTTGGAGCTCTTCTTCTTGGCGGAGACGGCGGCGATGCGCTTCCAGGGCAGCACCGAGATCAGCGAGTGCCGCTTCAGGCCCTTCTCCTTCGCGTTCTTGCTGTTCTGCACCGCCGTGTAGTGCCCCACCGTGGCCGCCCCCTCCTCGAACAGCGGGGCCTTCCGGTAGCTCGGCGACAGCGACAGCACCGTGCCCATGGCGCCGGCCGCCCGGCGGGCCCCGCCGCCCGGCGCGGCCCCGGCCCCGGCCCCGGCCCCGGCCCCGGCCCCGGCGCGGCCCCGCGCTCGCTGCCCGCTCCGCCGCCGCCGCCGCCGCCGCCGCCGCTCAGCGCCTGGCCCCGCCCCGCCGCCGCGCGCGCTCCCGGCGGCGCAGTGCGCGCGCCCGCCCGCCCCCGCCGCCCCGCCCCGCGCCCGCCACGTGCGCCCGCCGCGCCGGCGGGAAAAAGGGGGCGGGGACCGGCCCCCTCGCGGCGCGCGCGGCCTACGGAGGACGAAGCCCCGCCCCGAGCGGCGGAGGCCCCGCCCCCGCCCGGGACCGCCCCCTCGCCCTCTGCCCCTCCCCCGCCCCGCTGGCCCCGCCCCGGGCGGGGGGCGGCGGGGTCCGGCGTGGGCGCACCGAGCCCTCGGCCGGGATAAAAAGCAACGAAAAATATATTTAAAAAAAAAAAAATTAAAACTCAAAAACCTCCGCCCGGCACCCCGGCCGGTCCCCGCCTCCCCTCCGCCGCCCCGCCGGTGCCTCACCCAGTGCCGCGCCGAGGCGCCCCCGCGCCCGCCCCGAGCTCACCGGCCCGCGGAGGGGCCCGGTGCCGAGGTCTGAAGGCAAAGCCCGAGGGAGGGAGGCCGAGGGGCGGCGCCCCCAGCAGCGCGCCCGGCGGGTGCCGCGGCCCCCCCGGGCCGGGCCGGGGGGCAGCTCCGGGCCGGGGCGGCTGCCGGAGCCTCGCGGCGCTTCCCGCAACCTGCAGCGACACTCAGCGACGCTCCGCCGCGGCCCAGCGCGCCCCGAGGCCGGCCGGGGGGGGTGGGGGAGCGGGCAGAGGCTGCGGGGCCCCGGCTGTCACCCCCCCCCGCAGTGATGCTGCTGGCACCAGGGAACCCCCTCACCCTGGCACCGCACCCATCAGCGTTTGGCTAACGGCTTAAACCGAGCTCGCTTACACCCCTCCATGCCCCGAAGTCACCACTGCCACAGACGTGCGGCTGCCTGCCCCCTCCCCACAATTCAGATGTCTTCAAAAAAAAAAACAAACCACCCCAAAATCTCCTGTTTCATCCAGACACGACTGCACCCTCCCCGTGCCCGAGGACCACCGACCGCCCGGGCAGCGGGGGACACTGGAAAGGTCTGTCCGTCCCCAAAGCCACCAGCCCAAGGCAGCGCCACGCAGCAGCGCTGGCAGGCACCGAGACGCGGACGGGAAAGAAAATCTCTTTCTGGGTCAGAGCTCTGCCAAAGCTGCTGCATCCAACAGGGCTGGGGCTGTGCACGGCCAGGCCGGCTGACTGCATCTGTGCGCTAAAAGCAGGGGAGATTTTTCTGATCCATCTTTTTTCCAGCTCCCAAGGTAGCGCAGCGGCTTTCTCAGCACCTTGAGCGCCGTGACAGCAGTGGGACACAGCAGTTTGAAACCCAGAGCAGGGCTGAAAAACCTGCCAGTCCCCACCCACCCCAATCCACAGGGGTTCAGCTCAGGATCAACCCCCGGGACCGCTGCTGAGGACAGAGCTGTCCCACAGCACCCCAAAACCTGCACGGCCTTCAAAGTGTGTCCAACCCAGCGTGGCAGCTGGTTTGTTAAAGGGATGGTCAAAAGGTCTCCTCTTCATCCATCCTCTTTACAAACAGCTTTAGAGGCTCTTCTGCACAGTGATCCGCAAGGGACGGTGCGAGTCCAGCCCGAGCGGCACTGCCGTCACCGAGAAATCCCTTTGTCCATTAAAAATATTACATGGACCCAAGCAGCATGAAAGTCACCTTTGTGCAAAAGCCTGCTTTTTTAAAGTTAAGCCTTTTGAAGTTCAAGCCAAAAGGGTTTAACAACAAGCCCTACCGTTTGAGCTTTTTTGGCCCTAATTTTAACGCGCTTGGAGGTGGCAGGTGCTCAGACGCCTCGGAAAATCCCGGCTTTCCGCAGGCGGTTTGAGTGACTAACGCGCAATTAAACCTCCTCGATGCTGTGCGAGGCAGCCCAGCCGCCTCCGAGCCGGCGTCGCCACGGACCTGCTGCGTCGCCCTGGCCCCTGCTCGGGTCTCTCCGCTCCCCCCATCGTCACCTGCTGGGGCAGGAGCAGTTCTGTCCCCTCTGAGGGATGGCAGCAGAGCGGGACACTTCTCACCGAGGCCACGCAGGGCTTCACGGCCACCTCCAGCTTCCTCCAGCCCAGCCCCGTGTGTGCGACCATCACCGCTGCACCTGGGCTCCAGCTCCGCTCCCATGCACGACCTCCCCCTCATTCACCCGCTGTTAGCAACTAAAATCAGCAAAGCATGTCCACAGCTAAGCATCCCCAGGGGAAACGCCACTGAAGTGGCAGTTTGGTGAACTGGTCAGAGCCGCTTTTGGGAAATATCTTACCAGCTATTTCTAGTTCAAAAAAACCTAAGAAAACTAGAAATGCACTTCCCCTGCAATCCAAACCATGCGTAAGAGCAGGAGTTAAGTCCTTCACATTTTTCTGCCTATGAAGCCAGGTTTCTTTCCAGAAGACCTGCACCACCTCAACCAGGTGGTGTCCAAGATGAGTTTCAGACATGAAAATTAAAGATGCATGAGTTCAATTACATCCTAAAAACTTTTCTCTAGCCTTAAGAGGAATCTATGCACAATACTGTGCATGTGAAACTCTCCAATACAGCATCAGGGTATTTTCAAGGAAGGCTAGAAGTGCAAGAGGTCAGATGTAATTAATTTTTCATAATAACAACAATAAATAACAACTTAATTGGATAGAACTCTTGCTGTGCCAGGAACAGGTCACAATCCATAAATCTTTAGTGATGCTGCTTAAAACACGGTCCCTCACACTCTGTGTCTCAGAAATATCATCACCAGCGACGGTTTGGTGAGCTCTGGCCAGGCGCGCAGCTCGCGCTGCAATCCACCCTTCCCTAAGCACACAGAGAGTCTGCACCAAACCTGCCCCTTACCTGCCTCGGCAGCTGAAGACAGGAGACAGATTTTTGAAAAAAAAATTATTTTATTGGAACTCATCTGAACATCAGATATACCTGGTGTTGGTTAGCAAGAACCGTTTGTACATTTGATATTGATGGTGCCAAAAACCCAAACAGTGACTGACTGGATGAGATGGAAATTAAAAAAAAAAAAAAAATAATAATGTCGGAGAGGTTAAAATGTGAACAGAAAGCAGAAAAATCAGCCAGTCTAAGATTCAGTGTGAAGGCAAAATATTTCCTGATAAAACAGAATCCTTTTACAAAATATAAATTTTGTAAGAAAAACGTGGAGAGGGAGAGAGAAAGAGACAGAGGGGAAAGGAAAAATAAAGATTAGCAGGACAGAGATGCAGAAGCTTACACTGCCCAAATGGCATTAAAACCTAGCTAGTAACCTCACCATAAAATGAAACATGCTGGAATACACCGTGCTCCACCCCCCACATATATGACTTTGGAACAGTAACGAGGAAGCTCCCCAGCGAGTGCTGCACTAGGTTATTCCAGAAGGGCCAAGCTGTCTCACATCAGATGTTGAAAAAAAAAAAAAAGAACCGCTAACACAGCAGAGGTACCTAACGACAGTCTGATCAGCGCCCGGGCAGCCGCTCGCCGCCGCGCCGGGGCAGGCTCGGCTCACGCAGGGAACGCCTGCTCACCTGTTCTCCCTACCAATGCAGGTGGGGGGGAGGGATAAAACATTTAAAATCTAGTCTATTTTAAACAATAGCATGCAATACAGGCCTCCAGGGGAAACCTGCGCTGTTCCCTTTATTAGAAACTGGCCTAATGGTCTAGACAGTGGCTGCAGCCGAACTGAGGCCTCTGGCTGCGCAGGGTGGGTCCGGGCTCGCGCAGCACAATGACAGTTCTGAAGCAGGTTCCTCGGGTGTGAAAGCCTTCAGGAAAATCATTGTGGAGCTGCTTTCGAGGGGATCTGAGGCCTTTAAGATTTAAAAATAAACCAGCAGTCTGTACATTTTGGGTTTTTTTTTTTTTGGTTCGGTACAAATGGAATAAACTTGGCTGCTTATACACCGTCAGTAAGTCTTAGATTTCAGAGCAGAGGGAGAGATGAAACAAACTTGTTTTGGGCACCTACTGGTAACAAAACTTTGTCCCTGCTTAACTCTCTGCCATCCCTCAGGAAGTGGAAAGCACATGTTTAGGTAGTGTAAGCCTTTTTCCTTTTATTTAGAATACCCTCTTTGTTTAAACAATATTCCCCCCCCAGATACAAAGTTCGGCCAGTAAAGATTACATGGAAACTGGAACACGCATCGTATGGAATACAAGATGCACTGGATGAGGAAGTTTAAAAACTTTCCGAGCGAAAAGTAGAACAAAGAAAAAAAAAAGTCTCCTAACATTTTCCCAAAGGTTTCACTCTCCTGTCACACACACTCTCCAAATGACAGCTAGCAAATTCAACTCTGCAAAAAGAAAACAGAGCCACGTCAATCGAGAGGAGAGAAAACAAGCCTCAAGGACACAAAGCGCACCTCGGCCTGGGGAGGAGCGGTAGGTCCGGAGCAGCTGCGGCCTCCGGCTCCCGCCTCCACTCACCTATGTTAGCTTCTTGGCTTTGTTGTAGAGCGAATCCACTACTTTACTCATATTCTGAATAGTCTCGAGGGCAGCTTCGTAAGTTTTGTCTACGGGGGGCTCGTCGAAGATGATCAGGACTCCCTCGCCCTGGTCGAGGATGCCTGCAGACACAAAGCTGCAGTGAGCAGTGGAACGCTCGACAGATCGCACCTCCCAGAGAGCAGGAATTTAGGGATCTGCCCAGCAAACAGCCGCCCGGCTGTGCTGGGTTCGGAAGGGGCTCGTGTGTTGTGCTGGACTGGCTGACTGATTTTTTTTTGTCTGGACTGCATTAGCAGTGGCTTACCCAGAAAAAAAACATGTCTGGAGAGGGGCCCGAGAAGACATCCAGGAGATGCTTATGCCTGCACATTCCCTAACAGCTACCTTCCTCCTTGAGGCCCCTGTGCCCAGCGGGATGGCTCAGCACAACACTGGAACAAGGCAAAAAAAAAAGCGCCATTTCATAATTAAACTATTTCCAGGTGCCAGATGGGCAATGCAGCTGGGTTCTGTAATTTTTTTTTTGAGTCATTCTCTAACCAATATGCTTATTTTAGCCAGTTCCCATTCA